ATTTTTGGTCATACCGCCCACCACGAGTCACCTGCCTTGTAAAAATTCATAAAAATGTGACTGAGCAACTGACGAGCGCAGATTTTCCTCGCGCTTTGGACTTTGAACCCTGGTTAACAAGCAGATAGCGCTCGTGCAGCACTGTTAGAATACATGCAATGCGTGTGTGTATTAGAAAACATAACGTTTTGCAGTTTATTTACTAATTGTTTAAGACCATTTCGCGATTTCAATCATCATACAGTAAACCAGCAACAATCACCCCTTCCTCTTCTCATCGAAGACATGCGATGCAGTCATAAACAGTCTCTCGCTGTCAGTGCTTGTAATGATTTGTGTGTCTTTATCGGACAGTTTTAAATGCTTCCACACTGCTGACGTATGCTGCATTAAAGAGTGCGCGCCTCTCACTCTTCGCTGGTTGCCATTTGATCGCGTCATATCATTGTTCGGTACAATTTATTCGGCCTTTTCGCTTAATGTTCGGCAACCAGAATTATTCGGCCGAAAATAGCAAAAAAAGCTCTTTCGGTGTTCGGTCTAATAATTTTGGTTGCCAAACATTCGGTGCATCCTTAAAAAAAACTTAAAGCACAGTCCGTTTCATTTGTATATTTTTTATTCTATTGTATTCAGAAGAACACAACATACAAAACAGGCCCCAAACAGCACATTTTTGTGGCTCAACAAATGATCTGTGCTCCACTGCATTCATTCGCAGCAAATGAAGGCACTAAAACAATCAAAATATGCACTCTTTGTAGACTCTGCTCTAATGGGGCTGGACATTCCTTCTCTTCAAGATTGTGGGTAATGCGGCACCATTATTGTCAAGAAAATGAGTCTGGCTCTTGTTTACACAAGCGGACGGACAGACGGCTCGATACACACAATCTTGTTTTCCCTCACAAAAGCAATACGATGGCACAGATTCATCTTACACTCCACTTTAGAGAACATATAATTGAAAACAGGATTGTTCCTGCTTTTTTGTAGTAAAGGAGTTTGGTATAATTGAATCTAAGCTGCAAAACCCTAAAAATGTTACCGTTATTACATCATAACCATAAGTACCTTCACATATGACTGCGTAATTAATAGACAAAACACAGAAGTTAGCCAACCAGGTCATTTACATAAGTAAATGTCCTTAAAGTGAATGGAAAGCTAAATAGATTTTTTTGGTGTAAAAACAAAAAACTATGACTAACATTTCGAGTGGAAAAAATGTTACAAAAAGAAGTGTAGAATATTGTCCTTTTAAAAAAACAACAGCCTCAGACAGAAAAGACAAAACACAGAAGTTAGCCAACCAGGTCATTTACATAAGTAAAGAGCCTTAAAGTGAATGGAAAGCTAAATAGATTTTTTTGGTGTAAAAACAAAAAACTATGACTAACATTTCGAGTGGAAAAAATGTTACAAAAAGAAGTGTAGAATATTGTCCTTTTAAAAAAACAACAGCCTCAGACAGAAAAGATTAATGGATCCATGAGCCAGAGTAAAGCCGCACAGACTGGGAAGAGAATGTGCTTGGTTCTGAGCTCGACTGTGGTAAAAATAGCAGCCAAACAGCTTGCGGGCTCAGTTCAGGGCCAGGTCGGATAGAAAAGCTGTCACACTGTATTGAACACAGATTTATAGTCAAGCAAACTATGCGATAAAAAAATCCAGGCCTGAAATGTTCAGACAGTTCATTTAAATGCAAAAAGCAATTCACTCTCTCTCTCTCACTCTATATATTTATAGTATCAAATAACTATAAATAACTATAATATCATGATTAATTTTACTACTAAATTAGTAATTTTACTAAATACAATATTGAGTTCAATAAATAAAATATTTAGCTAAAATACAAACAATAAAATCTAAAAATCTTTATTAAAAAACAGCAATTATTAAAATAAGAAAAATGTAGATAACATTTTAAAATGTTTTATATTAAAATAAAATAAAAAACTATTACTAAAATAAAAGAATTTAGATAACAATTCTCTTTACTACTAAATTAGTAATTTTACTAAATACAATATTGAGTTCAATAAATAAAATATTTAGCTAAAATACAAACAATAAAATCTAAAAATCTTTATTAAAAAACAGCAATTATTAAAATAAGAAAAATGTAGATAACATTTTAAAATGTTTTATATTAAAATAAAATAAAAAACAATTATTAAAATAAAAGAATTGTTTAGATAACAATTCTGAACATCTTGAAAAAATAGTTTAATTTAAAATAAAATTAAAACAGTAATATAATTATTAAAATATATATATTTTTAAATATTATCTTATATTAAAATAAAATACAATGAAAACAATATTAAATTAAATTAATCTTTTAATTAAAACAGTAATATAATTATTAAAATAAACATTAAATTTTTTTACAAATATTATCTTATATTAAAATAAAATAAAATACAATGAAAAAATAAAATAAAATAAAAAATGTTTTACAGTTCAGCCATCCCCAAAGTTGCATAGTCAGCTACTTTTTATTAGTCATTTGCACTGAATATTTTCAAAAGGCTAGCTTGACTGATGTTTAACTACTTTAAATTAGTTCCCCCAACACTGGGGAGCAGTGGAAAGTTTTGAATGAAAAGCTAGCGGAAAATAGCGAGAGAGACCCAGAGAGAGTGAACGGCTGAAAGAGAGAGAGTAAAAAGCTTGCATAAGTATGTGAGCTTTGAAGGCCTAGAATTATCCATCTCTCTAATTAGTTCCAGGAATCCGGAGCCCTCAGCCAGTCTGAGTCATGAAGAACCTGGCAACACGCCGCACGCGCAAAAGCCACGCAAAACCCATTCATAACCCTGCGTTCACTCCCACCACACACAGACACCTCAGCTCTGCATGCCGTGACTGTTACTGCACAGGAACTCAAAGAGCTCAGAAGAGCCAGAAGTTCATTTGAAACACACACAGGATTCATGGCTGCTGCTGTATCTTCTGATGGTAACTGCACTTTAGTTGAGTCACAATTAGCTTTTATAAATACACAGTGGTTTTAACCAGTTAACCAGCATGGTTAAATCTGTCACATCAACTTAGATTTAGCATTTGGCTTGAAGCCTGTAGAATTAAACACTTACTGCCACATACCTGAAACTGGTACAATTAGTTTCTGTACCTTCTCGTGACGTCACCACTGTTAACTTACAGACTGTTGAGCAACCCAGGTTTAAATGTTTCGCTGCAACCTTTTGATTACAAACACCAATTACAATTACATCAGCTCTAGTCTCAGTCAGACAGAGCAGACTGAGCATCTGATTCATACTGTACACAAAAATGGCTCAAATCACCAGTTCCATTCTGACAACTAGCTTTGCACAACTCACAACAAACAAAGTCTTGTTGATAGAGTGAGCCTGAGGAACAACTAATCCTGGATTTGGATTTTATGATCACAAAATCTCAAAAAATTTTCTGCTAATTTACAGAACCACAGATATTGTTTGTATTTTCCTCAATGCGTTTTTTACACATTGAAGTGATTCTCACAAAGCCTGACAAGAAATGACCGGGTCACATTTAACCTCAAGATTACATGAAAAAATACATAAAATAAAGCCTACATGTACACTACTGATCAATACTTTTTGTTTAATGCTTTGTAAGAAGTCTTTTACACTGCCAAAGCCTGCCATTATTTGATCAAAAATACAGTAATACTGTAAAATACAATCATTTAAACTTTTTTTCCCATTTTTACATATTTTAAAATTTACAATCTTTCAGAAAACATTCTGCACTTTTTTTTTTTTTTTTTTTTTTTTTTTCTTTTTTCAAAAAGCATTAATTTCTTTGAAGAAAAAAAAACTACATTTTAAATTAAAAAAACATGCTGACTTCAGACTTTTGAACAGCAGTGTATGGGGGGGAAAAAACTATATTTTACTTATATTTTCAGACATATTTTATGTCCTAATTCTCTCGATTTTTATGCATTCAAGAACTTTACTTTTACTATTCCAATTATTTTCGATTAGGATTCTCATTATGTAAAACAGAAATTTTTAATTCATACAATTATTTTAATACCTAAAATCAGCAGTTAAGTAGTACAAAAATACTACCATGTATATATAAACATGTATGTATAAATAAACCTGAAATAATTTCAAAAGTATTTCCTAACATTAAGTTAATGATAATTGGAAGAAAATATGTGTCATGACAATAATGTCACAAAGTGAAATATATTATAAACTGGCTTCATTTTGTTTATGCAAAAGGTATTTTTTGTAAAACATGACTGGAACATTTTACTGACAGGTTTCTTGAGATTCACCCACTGTTTATTATTGTGGATTGAACTATTTCAAATAAACTCACCCCAAACAGTGACTGGTCATTTTAAATTCCTGAAAACTGACAGTTCTTGGCCATAATAATATACAATGTGCAGACTGTAAGAAAATCACCTCAGTCTCACTAAGAGAACATACAAGTACCTCAGCATCACTACTCACCATCCATGGCCTGTTTGAGAGCTTGCAGTTTCTTGTGCTTCTCTCTGATGCGGTCGTAAGCGCTGTTGAACGCCGAGCCGACGGACTGGCTCGAATGGTGATGGGCCTTCCTGACATCTAGGCTGCCAAAGTCTGCGTACCGGGAGTCCCTGGACTTGGAAGATGACTTGTGCTGACCGGCCGAGCGGGTGCTCAGGGCGCTGCTGCCCCTGCGGGCGTCTTCCAGGGCCCCGAAGCGGAGCATATCCGGGTCGAGGCAGGCCAGGTCTGCTGAGGAGGCCCAGCTTTTGTTTCTCTGATGGGGGTGTGAATGCTGGTTCACCTCCAGGGGTCGGCCGCGCTGTTGCAGCTGTTGCTGTTGGCGTTGATGGTAGAGTTCGGCAGAGGATTCGGACCCAGCGTGGTACTCTGAAGTGGGGTACGAACTGAGACCCTCATCCGCTCTGACAAGGTCCTGGATGGGAAGAGAGCCCATAGAGCGACTGAGTCCGCGGTTCAGGTTGGCCTGCTCCTGGGTTCGGGCTCTGTAACGCTCCAGCACACGATGGGCGGCACTACGGCCTAATTGGGAAAGAAAAAAAACAAAAAAGGGTTAAATATCAAGAACTTGCAAAAGTATAAAGATGCATAATCCTTTAGAAATCTTTTTAATATGCTAATTTGCTGATCAGGAAACATTTCTTACTAATATCAATGTTGAAAACAGTTGTGATGCTTAATATTTTTGTGAAACCATAATATTTTTTTTAGGATTCAGAAAAAACGTTTTGTAAATTTGGTCCCACTTTATATTAAAGGCAGGGTATGTGATTTTTCAAAAACGCTTTAGAAAACTGATTCGGGCCGAATAGCAAAACAAACTTGTAGCCAATCAGCAATAAGGGGCGTGTCTACTCGTGATGTGGAGGAGAGAGCTTTCAGTGCATGGTACGGACATTAGCCGAGCGGAGCTACAGAAAGATAGAGATGGTGGATAAAAAACAAAAGAGGAAATTCATTACCAAAAAGTGTTGTTACCAATGTCCTGTTACACATTTGTATTTACACATACCATTCAGTGGGTTGTTACATATGTGTAGTTACACAAACATTACAGCTGTATATACTATGTACCAATGTGTACTTACACTGTGGTTACATACTAAGTACACATCTAGTTACTATGTAAGTACACAGGTATTAGGTCCACTTAATATAAAGTGGGACCGAAAATGTAAATCTTTTGTAACATTATAAATGTCTTTACTGTCACTTTTGATTAATTTAATGCATTCTTGCAGAAAAAAAGTATCTATTTATTAAAATATTAATCTTATTGACCCCAAAACATTTAAACAGTAAAGTTTAACAGTAATGGGAGAAAAAAAAATGTGTTACAATGTTTAAGCATTTTGTTTTTTCTCATTTTACTGTTAGGTGTTCAGGAATTTTACTTCTATTTACATTACTTTTATGATTCTCATTATGTAAAACAGTAATGTTGTTAAACACTTTTTAAACACATTTTTTTATACCTAAAATCTGCATAAAAGTAGTACAAAAATATATTTTTGTGAAACATGACCGGAACAGCTTTTATTTGACCCATTTTGTGAGATTCACCCACCATTTATTATTATTGTGGTTATTGGTCATTTTACATGTCTGGGTGGTTCTTGGCCATAGTAATCTACAACGTCCAGACTTGTGACAGTGAAAAGTCTGGCTATACAGGACTACAACCGAATTGGTCGCAAAGATTAAATATACATAAACTTGCAAAGACAAATAAGAATCTATTGAAGGACATAATTAAATGTGGAACCCTTGCTGTCTTGCTGAGCATTTTTATTGGATCACATTTGTCAATGCGAGATTAAAATGGGTCCTAATTGGCTGAAAGAACAGAAGGAACAATGGTGGCCTTCTAGTGGTTACAAGCTCCTCTAAAGCCTCTCTGATTTCACCCCGAGCTTCCAGCGACACGCTCGTTAGCCACGCCAATTCCAGCCCTGTCAATCAGGAAGACATGGATGTTCCAGATGCTTCTCTCTTAGGGAACTGTTTGAGCTTTGAATGGCTCAACAAGAGGCCTTTTCTCTCATGTTTCATAAAAAGCTTAGTATATCGTAGAAGCAAAGACGAAGCTGGGGTGATTTCAAGCGGTTAACGAAGAGAGGCATGCTAAAGTCATTACACACTGACCTAGACACTTCAAAACCCATGACGCTGGAAGGATACCAGTCACCAAACAGAATATAAAACCGTCTGAAAATCAGATACAAGAGTCTTGCCATATTTAGTTCAACATCTCGTTGGTCTATTAGGTCTTATAATTGTGTTTTTTCTTCCATATTTCTAACATAGCAGATTATCAAAAAAGAAAAAAAAATGTAGGACGGAGACTTTGTGCTATCCATCGGTTGTTGATTGGATGTCGAGATGTGGGAATTGCATTCAAAAGTGAAGATGAGGGCGAGATTTCAGGGGCAGGATTTAAACTAACTAAATGGCTGGAGAAGTCCTGTATACGTCATCATTGAAATTTAAATTAAACAATATGAAGTGAAATAAATAAATAAATAAAATAATAGAGAAACAAAAGAAATTTAAAAAAAACTAAAAAGAGAAACATGCATGGATGAATTGTTCAAAATAAGATCTATAATATGTATTTATATGTCACTGAAATTTAAATTAAACAATAGGAGGTAAAAAATAAATAAATAAATAAATGAATAGAGAAACAAAAGAAATAAAAAAAACTAAAAAGAAACACATGCATGGATGAATTGTTCAAAATAAGATCTAAAATACGTATATGTCATTGCAATTTAAATTAAACAATAGGAGGTATAAATAAATAAATAAATAATAGAGAAACAAAAAAGCTAAAAGGAAACACATGCATGGATGAACTGTTCAAAATAAGATCTATACTATGTATTTATATGTCACTGAAATTTAGTAAAAATAAATAAATAAATAAATAAATAAATAAATAAATAAATAAAATACATAAATAAATAATAGAGAAACAAAAGAAATAAAAAAAACTAAAAGGAAACACATGCATGGATGAATTGTTCAAAATAAGATCTATAATATTTACACGTCATTGAAATTTAAATTAAACAATAGGAGGTAAAAAATAAATAAATAAATGAATAAATAAATAAATAATAGAGAAACAAAAAAACAAAAAAAACTAAAAGGAAAAACATGCATGGATGAACTGTTCAAAATAAGATCTATAATATATATTTAGAAAACGGGTAAATAGGGGGAATTTTCATTTCATGGCTATTTAAAATAAAAACAAACATAAATTATATAATAATAATAATAATAATAATAACAATAATTAAATAATAATAATATTATTATATAAACAAATATATAAATGTATATAAACACAATATTAAAAATAATATAATTAAAAATATAAAAAATATAATATAAAGAAAAAAAATTACTCACACTGAAGCTTTTTATTGTGGTTTTTATTTATTCATTTGTCTTTTGCCACTTTTTTCTTCAACAACATAGATAGAAGATCATAAGATGATCATCCCCAGCATAAACATTATGTGATGCGACAATCGTTCTGCTAATTAAGAATGATATTTGCAAATAGTGTTGTTGTAGCTGGTTATACGCTAAAGAAATTACGCTAATCAGGTAAGGTGCAAACAGGCTAAACATTACCTAACAATAAACCAGAAAATTACCACCAAACCAGTTGTGGCCAGTAATAGCACAATGTTAACTCCATCAGGCTAGCAGTGCTTTTACTTGCAAAAAAAGGAGATGCTAATGAAACAGTGTATAGTACTCTCAAAAGCCACATATGGACAACTTACACTGAAATGCAAACTTTTATACTCTTATTTTGACCAACCTTAAACAGATACAATGCAGTTGTTCTACAGTGCTGTTATGTACCGTATTGTCCCGAATATAAGACGATGTTTTTTTCTTGGAAATTTTTCCAAAAGGTACATCTGGAAAAAGGGGGGTCGTCTTATAATCAGGGTCGTCTTATATTCGGGCCAATACGGTATTAGCTAAGCAAGATTAGCATTGCTGCAGGTACTTTTCTCCTGAAGCTACTGCTAATGTGAGCACATATACTCTGAGAACGTCAACAAACATTCAATTTGCGAAATGAGAACAATGACACAGTCTGAGACCACAGTTATTACTTTACTGCTGAGGTTTCATGACATCTGTAAAGCCAAAAATAAACCAGCATGAAGTGAGTCACCATCTAGGCTGGCTTGTTTTCTCACATCATGACCTTGACGCTTGGCCAGAGACAACAGCATGAAAACCAAACGCCCTACAGAACACACAGTAAAAAAAAAAACCCTAGGAAATATCTATTGCTGATCGATGCCATGCCTCAGTTACATAACCATCCGGTCGTGTTTGTGCTGCAGCACCGCTGAAACCACTGGGAAGGTTTGGTCATATTTTCCAAAATGAAACACTCTGGTTTTGGTCTGTGGTGATGTGCTTGTCTAGATTCGTTTCAAACTCTTGTCTGCGCACAGAGAGAGGACGAGAAGGAGTGAGAGACAGACAGAAGATGGATGGAGAGCGAATGCAATGAGGGAGTTGGAAAGTTGGGGAGAGGAACAGAGAAGAAGAGATGACAAGAAAAGGAGAAAAAAAGTTCTTTGTTTGGCACATCATTAAACTATAAAGCATAAAAAGTCAGAAGCAGAGACGAGAAAAACAGACTGAGAAAGTGAAAGAAGGCCAATAGATGTTAGTGAATAGAATAAAAACTATGTTCAAAATTATAACATAGTGCCTACTGCAATGGTATATACTGTACTACATACCATTTTGAAATGAAATTTTAAGTTTAAGTCAAGGAGTTACTAGCGGTGTCTTTGTAATAAACTGTGAAATTTACAAGCAATGCAAATTGTTAAAAACGTTTTTTTTTTTTTTTTTTCAATTGTACACCATGTTTTTCCCCATTTCATTCAAAAGTTGGTAAGATTTTTAAAATGTTTTTGAAAAAAAAGGCAGTACTTTTTTGAGCAATATTTTTTTTTTTCTATTATTACAAAATATTACTAAAATAACACTACTTTGCAATGCTATTTAATAATATATTATTATTTATTTATATTCTTTTTAAATATTATTACTTATTATATTATATTTAATATTATATTATATTTATTTATTTAATAATATATTTTAACATTTTATTCATCATTGTGATGCAAAGCTGAATTTTCAGCATCATTACTCCAGTCTTCAGTGTCACATGATCCTTCAGAAATCATTCTAATATACTGATCTGATGCTCAAGAAACATTTCTTATTATCAATTATCATCATCATGAGACTTTTTTTTTATTAAATCTTTCTTAATCTTTCATTAAATCTATTTCTAATCTAGTTCTTTGAATTAGAAAGCTCAAAATATAATGTGTCCTTGCTTAATAAATGTTAATTTCTTTGCTCATATTATATACACACACTTTGCTGTATGCAATAAACAGTATGCTATTTTTTTTTTTTTTTTTTACATAACAAACAATCTGCACATTGTGGCAATATCATAAAATCATTTGGGAAAACAAATTTCTCCAGAACCACTTTTTATCTAAAAATAAATAAATCAATAAATAAATAACAAAATTCCCCAGAACTTTCTATCTGCTATTTTAAGATTATCTGGAAATTTCTCCACCAATCTTTACTTTCAGATTGGCACTTCTCTAGTGCTGGTGCTGTTCTGGCTTGTCTCTCCTTTTATCCTTCTGTTCTGATAAGCAGCAGCTCCTGAAGGGCTAAAGCCACGTCAAGTCAGAACCAAGCCCTGCTTTGTTTACATTCTGAATCACTTCCTCTTAACTGGATAAATGCTGTGTGATGAGTCAGTGTGAAGCGCAGACCTTCACGGTATTAAACCAATCAGTCAGAGATTATTAGGAAGCGGAGAAAGCGTGAGCTGTGATTACAATCAAAATATCATCATTTATTAACAGCAACTCCACTTGTGTGGTTGACGCAAAAGAAGACTTGAAGATCAGGAGCTTGAGCGTGTATTGACATGCCTGTGTGTTTGGGTGTGTGTGTGTGTGTGTGTGTGTGGGTGGGTGAAAGTAAGAGAGAAGTAGAAAGCAATTGCGTACATGTTTAATAACGTGGGGATGAAACCCCATCTTCATTTTCCTATATAATAAGCAATAGATGCCTTTTTTACATAAGGGATCTGGTGTGTATTACCTGCTGGAAGGCCTTTTCCTCGCAGACGTTCACGAATCTCTTTGCTTCTCTCTGGAAGTGACTCCCTTTCACTTTGAGACAACAGACCATCCAGCTAAAAAAAACACACATGCACAAAAACGAGAAAGAAATAAAAAAAATAACCATTCACTTTTATCAAAATATGAGATTAAGTGAAAGCAAATTATACTGATGATGAAAACATTTTTTTTTTTAAATAAAATATAAATATTACAAATAAGATTTGATTTCAAATAAATGCTTCTTCTTTTGAACTTTCTATTTATTAAAGAATAATGAAAAAATGTATCAATTTCCACAAAAAATATTAAGCATACAACGGGTTTCCAAATTGATTAAAAAAAATTATATTTCTTGAGCAGCAGATCAGCATATTACAATGATTTCTGAAGGATCATGTGACACTGAAGACTGGAGTGATGATGCTGAAAATTCAGCTTTGCATCACAGAAATAAACTACATTTTAAAACCTATTAAAATAGAAAACAGTTATTCTAAATTGTAATAATATTTCCCATTATTACAGTTTTTACTGTATTTTTGATCAAAAAAATGCAACCTTAATGAGCAGTAGTTTACTTTATGAAATTTTCTCTACAAGTCACCCAAATCGTATAAGCTACAAAAAAAAAAATTTTTTGAATAATAATAATAATTATTATTATTATTATTATTAAT